ACTACCAAAACAACAGGAAGAACAACAAAATAAAGCCAACCTGGCTCTTATTCTAATCATCAACAATTTTTAAAATTCAGATACCTTGGGAAAATCAACGTGATCGAAGGAACTAATTCCCTAGCCCAATGGAGTTCAACCTGGCAACTCCAGATCTTGGCAGGATAGCTAGCTTGGTCAGTATTCTCTGGAGCAGTAATTAGCTTCTGTTCTTATGAGGTTGTTGACTATTTGTGTGTGCTTGTAACAATCCAGGATAGGCTCTGGTTGCTATTTGCAGGTCATATGTGGCTCTTAACACAATCTGTCTTCTTAATTCCTTTGGCAAAACAGGTAGGTGAGGGGATAAAAACAGTAAGATTACCATAGGGTGGGAGTTTCTGTGGGAAGCAGGGCTGGCCTCAGTGACGTGAAGATCCTCCCTGCTCAGATCAGCTGCGACTGTCTGCTAGAGCTCTGTTCACTGTCACGTCTTCCACTGGGATTGTTCTGCTGCACTTCCTTCCTCCTGCTTCACTCAGCCATCACTGAACCTCTGACTCTGTGCAATACTCCTCTTATGTTGCCTGTGCATATTTAAATGTCATTATAGCATTGTGTTTCCAAGCATTCAACAGAATAGATTCAGTAAATGCATCTTTTAAGTAAAATAACTGAATGGAAAAGGCATAATGGGAAAAGGATAAGTAGAGCTATGATTAATTGTCCTTGAATTTCCTTCTGCATCCATTATTGACTGTTGGGCATGCATAAACTGTCTCTGTGACTTCCAGTGCTACATGCTTAGCAATAGCTATCTGAAGAAAATTCAGTGGGTCTTGAAAATGGTTTTTCTAACAGTTAACTCTTTGTAAACAGCTCAACTTAGTTTCAACTTAGTCAAGCTTGCTTCTTTTCTCTTCCTATCATTTTAATTTGATCAAACTTATTTTCGATACAGTATGGTACAACAGTAAATGTATGGAATGTGTTTTCATCAGTTCAGGGTAATATTTATCTTTCCATGGAGTTCATCCTTTTTATTTGCTGATACAGTAAGTTATTATACAGATGTTTATCTGGGTTAGTGCAACCTTGGAAATTCCATGAGGGATTCCATTTTGCATACATATTTTCTCTCTTTCTTATTGTTTTCTGTCCTTCAGTGTTATGAGAAAAAAGATACATGACCTACTCTTTTATATATAATCAGTATTAATAAAACAGAAAACATTGATTTGAAAAAATTAGTCTTTTACTAATAAAAATAATGCTTTGAATCTTTCATTTTAAACCATTTAAGGTTTATAACCAGACATACGAACCTGAAGTATTTCTAGCATGGTTAATTAACAACACTTCCACCCCATAGGAACTTTAATTCCAATGCTCTCCTCTAGATCTTAAAACAAATTGCTCCTGACAAAGACAGTGTTTCTCATACTTGCCTTTTTTCTCATAACACTGATCTATTCCCCTAAGTTTCAAGGAATGTATTGATTGATTGATTGATTGATTGATTTTAGGATATATTTTTCTTTGTTAATGAATCCAGTACATTTTTTTAGATACAGGAGTTTTGAACTGGAATACTAAGGAAAAAGGCAGTTACCAAGAGAGAGAGGGAGAGACAGAGAGATCTTCCATCTGCTGGTTCACTTTCCAAATAGTTTCAATGTCCAGGGCTATTACAGGCCAAAGCCAGAAACCAGGAGCTTCTTCCAGGTCCCCACACGGATTTGTGACCCTGCCTTTTTCAAGCTATTAGTAGAGAAATGGATTGGAAGTAGAGAAACCAGACACGAACTGGCACCCAATGGGACACTGTGTGCAAATGGTGACTTTACCAGCTACACTGGCGCTTGAACTTTTATTCTTATCACACATAAAAAAACATTTTCTCTATTGATTATGTATCATGTATACATATTGTCTTAACCATTGTATGTATAATTTGCATCTTTTAACTGGTTTTTTTTTTGGATTACTGACTTATGGAATTAGAAAAATTTTTTCTTTTCAGTGAAACAGAGCTGTGAAGAAAAATTTTATTAAACCATTTAGAATTTTCATTGGCTTTTGAAGAGAGTAAAATTTACAGCGGTGGAAAATCTAATGTGATAACAATTATTAATTTAATTATTTTGGCATTGTTGTGTTATTTCAAATGGGCCCTATGTAAGAAGTTTGAACAACTGTGGCAGCAAAGACTAATCTCACCTCTGTCTATTTTTTATTTCTAATATTTCATTAGTCACATTTTAATGTACTATCTGATTATTGTTATGCAAGCCCTTTAAGGAAAAAAGAGAAAATTGATGTAAGCTGTTGTATTTGCAATTTTGATTTTTTTTCCTTCCTTGATTATTTTCTACAGTATCTGTACTTTCTGGATCAGACATTCAGAGACCTGGGTTCCAGTGACTTTTGCTGCCATTAGTGTGAAAATGAGCAGTTCTGTTCACATTTTCGAGTCTCAGGGTTTTCTATTATGGACAGCTAGTCCAAACCAGTTCTTGGAATGAACCATCTGTGTGAACCTAGTGGGTACTTATACTTTTGCTCACAAAAGGCTTTATGTCTTTTCATCTATGGCTGAGCAGCTGGCTCTCAGGGCCTCTGTCATCCTGTTGGCCTTCGTTCTGTCTGCCTTCCACGCTGAGCAGTATCACTGGTTTCCTGCCCCTACCCAGGCTTGCATACTTCTGAAATATGAAGAGCAGAAAGTGGCTCCTCTTGACTGTGGACTATAGACTAGGGAAGGTACAACAAACTGACTCATTTGAGCGTTAGGGACTGTGCTCAGGAATTGTCAGCTAGAGTTGGGACATGGTGAAACCTGCCTGAATGTACACTATGATGAATGAAAGCTGCTGGAAGGGTTATCAGCTAGGCAAGTCTTTTATGAGAAAATTCTTCAGCTTTCTGAGACTGTCTGCAAATGAAAAAACATGTCCGGAAACCTGTTCACTGCATCTTAGTATTGTTCAATAGAGTAAACTTTCAGTGACTGTTCTCAGGGTTCACGCTGTACTAGAAAGGATTGTGGTGGGTATTTGGGCACAGAATGATTACAATTTTTCCATTCCCTCAATCACTCTACCCTTCAAACACACAACATGAAAACCTAAAAGATGCCTCTTTACATATCAGCTTTAAGTGAAAATGTTCAAGGTCAAGGAGAAAATTTTGGTGCCCTTCTATGTTACTTATTGTAGTCTAACAGTATTTTCATTCTAAAATACTCTAAAATCTTAAAAACATAAACCAGTGACCTTGGAGATAGAACCTATCCACATGATTTCTGTTTAGTTTTTGAATATTTAATTTATTTATTTTATTAAAAAGGTAGATTTACAGAGAGAAAGAGAGACAGAGAGAAAGTTCTTTGGATGACTCCCCAAGTGGATCAATGGCCAGACCTGAACTTATTTAAAGCCAGAAGTTTCTTCCAGGTGTTCTGCGTGAGTGTAGGCTCCCAAGGGTTTGGACCATCCTCCTCTGGTTTCCCAGGCCACAAGGTGCTTAAAGGCAAGGATTTAGCAATTTAGCCATAGTGCCGATTCCCCATGTAGATTTCTCACACAGAAAATATGATGGGATAGAATATTATAGCAGGCTACAATAAATGAAAACACTGAATACTTTAAACAGAGATACTTCTAGGCAAAAAAAGGGAATGGGTGGGTGAAACTGCGACAAGAGTGAAGCAAACCTTAATATTTCATTGTTTCCAAGCACTGGCCTTTAATATCTCTTAAAATGTTCAGAGAAACGGAAGAGTATGGGGATGTATTTTACATCCTATGTAGTTATGTAGGCCCATGTTGTAGTGGAAGCTAGGGTTTACTAAACATTGTGCATTTCTTGGGTCTTCAGAAAAGTATTGGTCAAGGTTATGGCTCTAGCGGAATTTTGTTGAGTGGTTTGACCAGTAGAGGGCTCTGGATGATCTTAATAGATCAAAGAATGATAGTTGAAATCAGAGCTGCTTTGCCAACAATGGAAATCTCAGGTAGTTGAATCTTGAGGACACTCTATGAGGTGAAATAAGACAAAGAGTATGTGATGCTGATGATGGGCAACCTGTTGAGTAATATCGTTGAAATGGAAAGTAGTGTGATGGCTATGGGGATTGGGGAAAGGGCAATGGAGTTTTGTTTAAAGTTTTTTTTTTTTTAATTGATACCAAGTTTTAAATCATGAGATGGAAAAGTTCTGGAGATTTGTTTTACAAAGAAAAAAAAATTATTTAACACTGCTGAAGTTTGGAGTTAAAATGGTCAAGAAAGTAAATTGTGCGTGTGTGTGTGCAGATGTTTTAGTGAGCATGTTGAAGAATGCGTCTACCATCTTTGATAAGGCCCATATTATCTGTAATTTTCGTGGGCTGTGATTTTTTTACTTCATTTTTATTATTTTCAAGCTATATCCTAATCTCAGTTTGTTTCAATTTAATTCAGTTCCATTTAAGGTTTCAGAAAACTCTTACTACTGGATGGTGATCCACTGGTTGATTATAATTCATGTTTACTCTTAACATATTTAATTGTATATTTTATGGAAAGAAGAGTGTGAAAATGAACGCAAAACAGAAATAAAATATGTTAGGATGGGAAATTACAGACATATACTATAAGACTTACTCATTAATTTTGTTTTAAGTATATTGCTTATTCATTTTATTCTATATTGTAAGTAAACGCTTTTCACTTGCATGTTATGATTTTTAGTGGAGGCATAATTTGGGTAGGTCTAGTTCTCTTATTAATTCTAGGCTTTGGGAAGCTTCATGTGATTGGTATTTCCAACCAAAATATAGGCCTTTGAATTGTGTTTTTATTGTTATCATCACTGTAAAAACCACCATGACCAACATCATCATATGAGAAATTGGTTTCCCAGGTAGTTCTCATTCACACGGCGAATGTACATAATTAATATCATCATCATTCTGAATAATCACAACTTCTTCCTTTTTCCCTTTAGCAGAATTGTAGCTGCAGCCCAGAGCCTGGTCAATGGATGGAGGGAACCACTCGGCAGTGTCTGAGATTGTGCTTCTGGGACTCACCCAGTCCCGGGAGCTCCAGCTTCTCCTGCTGGTCATCTCCTCTGTGCTCTACCTGGCAAGCATGACCGGAAACACCCTCATTGTGTTCTCTGTGAGCACTGACCCTCACCTCCACTCTCCCATGTACTTCCTGCTGGCAGGCCTGTCCTTCATTGACCTGGGGGCCTGCTCTGTCACTTCTCCCAAAATGATTTATGATCTGTTCAAAAAGCACAAAGTCATCTCCTTTGGGGGCTGCATCACCCAGATCTTCTTCATCCACGTCATCGGTGGTGTTGAGATGGTGCTCCTCATGGCCATGGCGTTTGACAGATATGTGGCCATTTGCAAGCCCTTGCATTACCTGAGCGTCATGAGCCCAAGGATGTGTGTTTTGTTTCTGGCAACTGCCTGGGCCCTGGGCATTATTCACTCCCTGTTCCAGTTGGCCTTTCTCATTCCCTTACCCTTCTGTGGCCCTAATGTATTGGACAGCTTCTACTGTGACCTTCCCCGGCTCCTCCGGCTGGCTTGCACGGACACCTACAGGTTACAGTTCATGGTGACTGTCAACAGTGGATTCATCTGTGTGGGCTCTTTCTTTGTGCTCCTCATCTCCTACGTCTTCATCTTCTTCAGTGTTTGGAAACACTCATCAGGGGCTTCATCCAAGGCCCTCTCTACTCTTTCCGCTCATATCACTGTGGTGATTTTTTCTTTGGTCCAACCCTGTTTGTTTATACCTGGCCACACCCTAATTCACAGATGGACAAGTATCTTGCTCTCTCTGATGCTGTTCTCACTCCCTTTCTAAATCCAGTCATCTACACATTCAGGAACAAGGAAATGAAGGCAGCAATGAAGCGAGTTTTCAAAGCAGTAATGACTTTAGAAAAATACTATAATATTTCCAGACCTGATAATTGTGTGTTCTGCAATTGATTTTTTTTTTTTATGGAATTGTCTGCTTTGGGGTAGCAAGGTTGATTGGATTGCTATTGCACTGTTTATAAATGTTCCTCTTTCCATAAAGAGGGAAGAGTTAAATAAATAAACCTTAATCTAAAACTGACTTTGATTCAGATGGGATTGCAGAAATGTGTAGTAGTTGTTCTAATCAAGTTCTTTGCTTTCTCCTTTCTTTAAGTTATTTTCTTCCTCTGAGGTATTTGTTTATAATCTAATTCCTGAGCCATCCAAATTGTTAAAGAATTAGTTTTATTCCTAGTCTCTTGCTTTTGAGAACAATGGCTCTTGCTTTTTTCCTTTGACGCACTAGAACACATTTAGGCTTATTGTAACCTATTGACTTCTACTTTTACTGTGTAGCACTTGGTAATATTGTCTACCAGGAAAATTTATCTTTAGATGTTTTTCATGTAGATAAAAACGACGTGATCTCAGCTCAAATCAGAGGTGGCCTAATTACCCTCTTTTTATTTTTCACTTTCCCACCCCTCTCCCACTGCTTCTATGTAAGGGCTCTAGTGTTACTCCATATTTTTGCATAGTTGTTGGTTGAAATGCTTCTGAGAAGTATTTTGAAAAGCCTAACCTCATGACAGCCTTGCCTTTGTTCACATACACATGCGTATTTGTGAAATAGAGATTCATTCTTCCATTAATATATATATATCTGAATTCTATTTTTACTTCCTTACTATCTGGAATTGTGCTAGTGTATGGGAATACTTCAAAAAGCAAAGTGAAATAAAAAACACATAGATCTTACATCCTCTGCTTTACTCCCCAAATGGCCGCGAAAGCTGGAACTGGGCCAATCAGGAACCTATAACTACATCTGAGAGTCTCACAAGTGGGTAGCAGGGGTCTTGGTATTTAGGCCATCCATCTTAGTTTATCTTCTCAGGGATATTACCAGGAACCTGGGTTGGATGTGGAGCACCCAAGTCGTGGACCAAGTTCAGAAAATCTGGAGTTATTGCACTGTAATACAATGCTGGTGTTGTAAGTGGGGGCTAGCCTGCAAGATACAAAGACCGTGGTAATCATGTACACGAGTAGTATTTGGAACCATTGTTATGGAAAATGCATAGTATAAAAGTGAATTCCAAATTTTTCATATTGAAACAAATATAATTATTTACATGAACTTGTATGTCTCAAATTGCTCTTATTAATACATGAATTTAGAAGAAATTATGTCACCTGGAAGAATACTAATCAGAATGATATACAAAGCAAATATTTGCAGTAAAAACTTGTGGAAGATTTATTATGCCTTCTACAATCCAATGAAAGATTTTCATGTGTGTATGTGATAATCTCCAATGCAGTGTGCATCTCTATTTTCAAATCAAAGATGAACTCCCAATGAAACTATTGAGTATATCTTGACAATAGAATACTGGACTCTGCCATTGTCTGTGTCTACAATGTCAGGATATACTTAAATAGCAGAATGAAGAACTTAAGACTGATTGTGAAGGATTATACTATTGTAATGTAATAGTGGGGGAAACTAAACATGGGGGACGCAGAGATTTGGGGAAAGGGGAAGGGAAACCCAGGGCCTATGGAACTGTATTATGGAATAATAAGATACATAAATTAATTTAAAAAAGTTTTTCATGGTTGCCAAATGTTAAGTATAGCTTATTTTCCCTCTTGATTACACTGAACTATGTAGAAAAATACTATAATCCCTACATCAGCCTGAGGACAAGAAAAGAAAAAAAGCAGAGAAATTTTGTATTATGGGGAAGAATGAAAATTAAAGAAGTAAGCCATAATAGGTTAAGATTTTTTTTCATTTTTCATTTTTCTTCCTGCTACACTTCCTACCTGAGAATAGCATTTATACGAATAGTCTGACATATTAGTCATTATACAAAAAAACAAAAACAAAAATAATCCCCAAGGAGAAAACAAGGCTGCTGGCTGAAGAACTGGGAAACATGGCCTCTGTAAGCTGCTTATCTTAGGACGGCTCTCATGGCAAGTTAGAACAGGAAGCTGAAACTATAAGTCAAATTCCCTCCTTTATGATACAGAAACTGGGTTAATACCTCTGTGGTCTAAAGCATGTGATTCTGATTATTATTGACTAGTGGAGTTTATTCCTTAATAGTTTTCTTCATTAACATCCCATGGAAGACTTCTTTCTTTCTTTGAAAAATTACATTGTCAGTTTCGTCATATGTCTTTGATTTACCCTTTGCTGTTCATTACACAGTGGGGACTGCCATTGTCTGATTGCCTCCTCTTTCTTTGACTTGGTTTTTCTTTTCACCACACTTGTAGCCTAAAAATTCTAAAGTGGCTTGTCTGCATGTTTCTCCCTGAGCTCTCATTTTCTTTGCCACTCCGGAGTGAAGGTTCACATGTTCTAGTGTTCTCAGTGAATCTGCCCTTGTAGGACTGCTGAGCTTCCTGATTAGCTCAAGGTCCTTTAAAATTTTATTTAATTGAAATGCAGAGAGACAAAAAGAAGGAGGGAGAGATTTTCCATCCACTGATTCACTTCCCAAATATCCACAGCAGCTAAGGCTAAACCGTGTAAGGACTGAAACAGGAACTCCATCCAGATTTCCCACACATGTGGCAGGCCTAACTACTAGGGCCATCGACTGTCTTCTATGTGCAATAAGAGGAAGCTGGTGTAGAAGCAAAGGGGAGATTCAATTCCAGGAACTCTGACATAGGATGTGGATGTCCCCCAACGCCTTTATATTCTGTGCCACAGGACCTGTCCCAGCTCAAAATCTTATCTGGATGTTAAGTCTTGTGCAGTGTCAGTTTATTCCATGCAAGTTTTCTTTCCAAGTGTGGACTGAGAGTCTTTTATTTATATAAATGGGGCTTGCTCAGTCTTCTTATTTTTGTTTTACTCTGGAAAATTGGGCTCTAGATTACATATGCTTTGTGGATTTGTGGATAACATTGTGAGTTTTGAATAATTGAAGGAAGTATGGTAATGGGAGAAGGGAAGAAAATGTTGAGAAAGCTCTAAATTCCCCATTGATGATATATCTCATCCATGTGTACTTTGTATAATCACATGGCAGCAGCAAACCTGCTTCATGTTGTGGTGATGGGAATACAATAAAATATGGATAGAAGATTTCACTTTTTAAAAACATTTATTTACTTTTATTTGAAAGGCAGAGTTACAAAGAGAGAGAAAGGAGGAGTAGGGGAGAGATAGAGAAAGAATCTTCCATCCACAGGTTCACTCCTCGAAATGGCTGCAAGGAGCTGGGCGGATCTGAAGCTGGGAACCAGGAGCTTCTTCCTTGTCTCCCATGCGGACATAGAGACTCAAGAACTTAGTCCTCCTTTGCTGCCTTCCTAGGCCATTAGTAGCAAGCAGGATCAGAAATGGAGCTGCCAGGACTACAACTGATGCCCATACAGGATGCTGGAACCACGGAGGGGCCTGCCATGCCACAGCACTGGCTTCAGGGTGTGTAATTTTCAAAATCACGGTAAACATCATTTCTTTATATGTATTCTCTTTCTTCTTTTTCATATTATATATTATGATTTCTCTCTCCATATATTTTTATACTTTTTTTTTTGTAATTCTAGCTTTAAATTGAATAGCATTAAGTTGTACCTAATAGGAATGATTCAAAATTTAATAGGATAATGTTTTAATGTTCTTTGAGATTCAGGTTTAATTGTAAGACTTAAATTGGTCTTAGAAAAGATGTTTTTACCATTACAAAGTTGAATAGCCTTTAATATGCCTGATTAATAGGTTAACTGCTTGGCTACCTTGGGGAAACCCAAATTGTCACAGGTGATATTTCCCAAGGCAAGTGATCTCAGTGTGGTGATTCCAGATCTCTGTAACTTCATTTGGTCTCCGCCTTCTGGGTTTTATACAGGTATGGCGTATGTCTGAAGTGATCTCTTGTTGGTTCCTGTTGATCTTATGAGAACCGTATCTATTCTAATAATTAATGATTCTGTGTTCTTAGTTCCCACAGGTAGGTGACAGGGACAAAAGTAAATTCTTCAGTGAGTAAATCAGTAAGTCAAGCTTTCTGTGCTCTCGTGTTAAGAAATGTTTTTCTGAGTTGAATATGATGTCCACCTTATGTGTGAGCATTTTAGCATTGGTGCCAGGGAAGGAAAATCAAGCAGAAATTAAGGCACTGTGATAGAATTGATTGGGTGGAGGGAGGGAGGGTTTTGGCAGAGGAAAGTGAACAACATTGCCCTCAAAAAGATGAGCATAAAGTTCCAAGCATAAAGGAGGAGAATCAAGTTTATCTAATGACTGCCCGTCCTCTGTGCTGAGCATCTCCCACTGTTCAGCCTCACTCTTTCTTTCTTATATATCTTCCTGTGGGACCTGGGCATTATTGTTAGCATCCTGGTCCAACTGAAGACTGGAAAACTTTCACTCTGTGTGACTTTCTGCCTGACCTAACATTTCACTTCTCAACCCTTGTCATTCTCATGTTGGAAGTCATCTTCATTTCAAGCTGTTGAGCACTGCTGACATCACAGCAGGGTTACATATTTGATCTCTGAAAACTGACACACAACCTTTAATGACTTAAACATATGCTCTTTAACAGCTGTATCATGTTTATATTATCGATTCACTAATGAACCTGTTTGACATTCATGGTGTCTGCATACAATACTGGGCTTGAACCCTACTTACAATGTAGAGAATTTGTGTGAATTGTTATCTCAGGTTTTAGAAATGTACTCCTGTTGGCTTTATTATCCCATTCCCTCCTTGCTTGGTTTTCTCTCCTCTTCCATCATTCTTGATGCATGCTTCTCTTGGCTCTTTTGGTCCATGTCTCCTTTTCCTATTGTTCTGCTAATATTTCACTACTTCCTTTCATATTATCAGTGTAAATATGTTTCATAGCTGGGTCTTTATTTTCTAAGTCTTTTTCCTTTATAGTCTCTAACTCAAACACTTTTTTTTCACTGTTGTACTTTTATGTGGATTT